GACCATTTACATCAAGATAAAATATTCAAATGCAAATTGATCAAAAGAGGGATTGAAGTAGACATCTTGGGATTTCCAAAAATTCCAAGATCATCATCATGAGATGAAAATTGAGCAAGTTATGGCTTGCCCAAGTTGGGAAAATTTGGGAATTTTTAAGAATTATGCATTGAACAAACTTGAAGTTTTAGGTCATTGGCTTAATTTCTTGGACTTCAAACATCTTCCTAAGCCTATAGAGGACCTATAAAATTATTCTTGCCATGCCTTGCATTTGCTAACTATTTTATTCATATTTATTTTAATTTATTTCAAATAAATAAAAATAAAATGTATAAAATAATTGGAAATGAGATTTGAACTTTGGGTTGATGTTTTGGACAGCCTAGGCCCATAAAATTTCGTGCAAGCAATGTCCACATTCATTCAAATTCAAAAAGGACAAGATTTCATGTCTTTGGCAAAGTTACAAAATATCATTCATGGCTTTAAAAACACATATTTATGGTTGTTATTACCTTTGTTCTCTTGTCTCCTCCCTCCTCTCTATATAAAGGACACATTAGCAAGCTTCAAGACACATGATATACAGTCTGGAAAAGCTCTACAAATTTTGCAAAAATTATCAAAGTTATAAAATTCGCATTTTAGGTTCCAGCCTTACTCAGTCCAAACAAAAGATCCAAATACATTTCTGGAGGCTCCCTGAAGCTTTTGCAATCATTACCAAGCACTGAAACATCACAAAACGCCCCAGCAAGCTCCATTTTTATATTTTCTAACTTGTTTCATGCAGATTCGATGCACTACATGGCCAGAAGTGTACCAAACACCATCAGATCTAGCCTTCAAATCATAAGGGGTCTAGATCTAAAGACTTCAATTTGAGATCCACCATGCGCCCTCAAGGCCTCATCTCACCTGATCCAGCATGGCCTGGGCTTAACATTCACTTGGGCCTAGCAAAATTCAATTTCAGTACCCCCAATTTCTAATTATCCTGGTCCATTTCGCATTGTTTTTGTCACTTTGCTTTATATTTTTATTTTATTTTAATTTGTTTTATTCATTTATTTAATTAGTATAATGTAATAAAAAAATCACAACAAATATAGTTTTAGTTTTTTTAATTAAATTAATTTTTTGAATTAATTAATAACTATTTTAAATATTTTCTTTAATTAAAAATAAATTAGAACTTATGACTTAATTTTTGTTTGATTATTTTCTTTAAATAATAAAAAAACTAAAAAAGAATTTAGACTATTTTTCTTGATTAATTTTATTTTCTAAATAGATATTTAGGTTATTTACTTTCTTAAATCAAAAAACAATCAAAAAGATTTTTTACTCAGCATTTTCTTAGTTTTCTTTTAGACGTAGTATTCATTTCACGTGCATTATTTTCATTCTCAATTTTTTTATAATAATGTAACTATATACTGATATGTAATAGACTAAGTAGGACTTTTTTATCGCTTTCTTTATTTTACTTTTCCCCAAGTTTAGACATGTAAATATCCCCCTCTCCAAAGCATTGTAATAGCGTAGATTTAAATTTCTGCACTTTAAATTTCTGCAAAATATTAACTGCTAGTAACTAGGCATGTATGAAAAGACTGAAATCAAACGTTAGCAAACTTAACAAAAAGACAAAAATAACTGAATCGAACACAATTGCACATGCGCGCCTCTAGGGTATCCCACTTCAGTTGCTTTCGGAAAACGGTCTCAATTCTCGAAACGTGAGAAGTTTTAGTGACTATCCTCCAGTTTAAAGATCACTAGTCCCTCGATAACCCTCTCGATGTTGCCTCGGCTAAAAGTGATCTTAGAACTTTAGGGTGGTTACTAAAGCTTCTTGCCAAGTTGCCTTCGTGACTATAACGTCCCTTCGATTGTCCCTCATACATCCAATGATAAGGCTACCTACTCACTAATAGTAGGATAGCACTGTCTAAAGGATAAGAAGAAAAGAACTACCTTTTCGAGTACAAAGTAGATAGTTGTTAGAAGTTTGCTCAAAAAACATTTTGCACTTACACAAATACTACTTTTCAAAAACAATTTCAAAACATTTGCTTTGTTAACACTCTTGAGGACTGATACAAGAGTTAAACGCAAAATAAATCGCCGCACTAAGGAATTTCAAAACATTTTTCAAACACACAAAGCACAAAGGTATTTCAAAATGAGAAAACCTCTAAGATCCCGTAGATAACTACAGATGGAAAGGGTGCTAACACCTTCCCTTTCCATAATCTACCCCCCTTACTCAGAAAACTCTCGAAAATGTCTTTTTTTGTTCTTTTCACCCTTTCCTTAATTTGGATAAAAGAAAAGTCGGTGGCGACTCTTGCTTACCGCGACATTTGCAAACAAAACCGCAAAAATAGTATATAACAGTTGGTTCTGCCACTGTATCACAACTTACTTGGAAGAAGATTAAACTTTAAAGAATTCTAAGATGACGCTGGAACGGAGCAAATCCACGAGCGAATGAAGAAGAGTGGTGAAGGAAGCTTAAAAGTAACAAATGAACCCCTGGGTCCCCCTTTTTATAGATGGGTTACACCCCACGAGGCAACACACAAAAGTCATCATTATTTTGAGCTTTTGAACTCCCCTATAGAAAGTTGGCACCCCAAACAACTGCCACGTGGGTGTTGATGAGCAGCCACATACTCACTCTTGAAAACGAACTTATCCCCAACATTAATGCATATGCGGGTATCTCGATGATGTTTCACGCTCAATTGAGGGCAAACGCACGGCCTCGTGGTGAAGCCTGGCATACAAGCATGCTCTTATCATTTCTCTCCCGAAGGCGTGGTAGACGCTCGACATTGTAGCGGCCCCTAATAGACGGGCACGTCGAAAAAAGAGTACTCGAGGAAACTCCTCGCATCCTATAGATAGGTACTCCTGACGGGCACCAAATGAATAAAATCAAAACCGAAGTTGATCATTGGATTGCCCGCGTGTTTTCGGAGTCCCCGACACGAATCAACAAGCTATCCCCGGTGGAGGTGTGCACTTTCCCTTCTCGGGCGAAGGTTCTCTGACAGTGAAGCTGAACTTAAGTCATCACCCTCTTACCTAATGGAAATGACTTGGGGGGGCTCCTGTTCTGGATTAGGCCGACACTTGCCCCACCGTTGGGGAGGCCAAATCCAGCGTCTTTACCAAAGGCCCAAAAGCATACAGCCCAAACTGAGAATCATTGGGCATGTCCCCACATGTCCACTAAAAGAGCAAGGCGTACGTGTCCATATCATCGTCATTTTGCCCTCCGAGAATAACGAATCCAGCTCCTGCTTTCCCGGGGAAGTTGACCAGGGAGAAGGCCACGTGCTGGATTCCATACACACGTAAACCTTGGCAGTCTTCATTATTGGGCCTTATCGTGGCCCATCACTGAAGACCTTGGCCCAATGCTAGGGGCTATAAATACCCTCTCACTTGAGAGGGTCAGGTACTCATTCTCTCATACTCACTCTCATACTTGCTTGCATTGCTCTGCACCTCACTTTGGCATCAGAGTGTCTTGCATGTCCCCCTACTTCACATCTAACTGCTGCTCGAGTCGAAGCTTGCGGGATTTGACAATCCATTATGATCAGATACGATCAATAATCATAGTTCAAGTTTATACAATCTATTTTTCAATTATAAAGTGTTCTAAATTCAATTTGGAATTGATCAGATAAATAAAAGCAGTGAAAATAAAAATTAATAAATAATCGCAAAAAACTTCTATTAAAGTTACTACTTCACGTGGATTTAATGGTCTTCTGATTTTTAGTCAAGCATAACAAAATCTAGCTTCCTCTAGCTTAGTAATATGTATTAAGAATTTATATGATTTGAATGATGTAATTGATAAGGTCTCAGTAGATTTTGGAAATACATTTTCAAAATAAATTTAATCATATAGTTAAGATGTGATTAAAAAATGAATGGATTATATATACATAGATGTATTCGAAAATATATTTTTAAAATTTAAAAGACATTTTTAAATTTTTATAGACTGTTTTTTTACCACATAGGATAAGATTAACAATTTTCTTTAGATTACTGTCATAAGTGGATTGAGATAAGATTAATATTTTTCTTTAGATTACTGTCATAAGTGGATTGGGATGAAATACAATTTTCTGGCCCAAAATTTTGTTTGAAACATTTTAATTAATTTTTAAGAATTTTTTTAAATTAAATTATAATAATAGTTTATTTTTAAAATATTAAAATATATAATAATTTAATTACAATTTTTTAATATTTTTAAATAAAATTATTTATAATATTATAAAGAGTTATTATCATTTTATGTCCTGTTATATAGATCCATTCTGATTTACTTCATCGTAAATTTTCTTTTTCAAAAACAATTTTATCATTTCAAAAAGTTAACAATTTGATTTTTAAAGTTAAATTCCGCAAGTAAATCCAAAAAAAAAACTACAAAAAATCTGTAAATTTATCTTCAAATTTTGACTTTAAAAACTAAAATATTAATATTTTAAAATGACAAACTTTTAAAAAAAATATTTTACAAAAATAAATAAAAAATAACTGCTATGACTGGAGGGAAAAATGATAATTGCTTTTTATAAATATACTTTATACTACAATGACAATTTCACTGTCACGTTTTAAATGAGGATATTATAGGTAAATAAAAATTTTAAAAAGTGGAAGAAAATAAAAAGTTTCAAAACAATAAAAATAAAAGACTAAAAAAATAAAATTTTAAAATAAGAAAATAAAAAAGTTATAGTTTTAATCTTGGAACATTATCTAATAAGAAAACACGTGTAAGATAACAATTGGTTGCAACCCGATAAGAAATACGTGAACAAAAATCTTTAGCAAGCCAAGTATATGTATAGAAGTAAAATCTATTGACTCAATCTCTGATCCTTATCTAGAGAAGAAGAATCTTCTCAAAACCGAAAACCAAACCAACCATCATCATAACTAGAGAAGAAGAAAAAATGGCAACAATAGCTGGTCTGAGTCTCTCAAACCCTAGGCTTCTCTTCAACTCACCAGGATTGGCACAAACCATCAAGATCTCACCAGCATCACGGCAAAGCTTAACCGGATCAGGACGGATGAAGATAGTTCAACCTCTTCGTGCTGCACCGGAACAAATATCTAAGAAGGTGGAGGAGAGCATAAAGAGCGCGCAAGAGACTTGTGCTGATGATCCGGTTAGTGGAGAATGCGTGGCTGCATGGGATGAGGTGGAGGAACTCAGCGCGGCTGCGAGCCATGCAAGGGATAGGAAGAAGGAGTCTGACCCGTTGGAGGATTACTGTAAGGATAACCCGGAGACTGATGAGTGTAAGACTTATGATAACTGAGTCTGAGAGAGTTGTAAAAGTGAAACTGTTGCTTTATATGATGAGTATGATGATGAACATGATGAGATTTGAGTAGTATTGTACTTGAATTGTGTGTGTGTGTTTATGGATTTTATCTTAGCATCATAGATTATATAGCATCTTAGAAGATAAATGTAATTTACATTGAAAGATTTCTGCAACAGTGCTTTTACTTGATTTTTATGAACTTTGTTATGATAAGGAGGGGGCTTGGATCCACTAAGAACCTTGTTATGATAGTGTCGTAGGTTATAGAGAATTCCAACATGGTGATAAGGTGAATATTTATATTAGTATGTGTCCCATTGAAGATCTACACACATTTATGTTTATATTTTGTTTATCGTATAAAGTTGCCAAAAGAATCTAAAACACCTTATGTTAAGTACTTAAATATACCTTCCTCAACACCTAGTTTCTTCACTACTAATTTTGAAAGCCACTTTCATAGTCTCAACTCCTGAAACCTACTATGCTTCAGTTGGAGACATAGCCACCATGAATTGAGTTGAGGTTTTTTAGAAAATAGGTCTACTTGTTATGTGAGTTGTATTCATAACCACCATGAATTACTATGGATTGAATTGATGTTTTTTTTATAGAAAATAAGTCTACTTGTAAGTTGTATACATAGTCGTTATGAATTGAATTGATGATTTTTTTAGAAAATAAATCTACTTGTAAGAGTTAAGACATATCCTTTTGTAGATTTCTTATCATCCGAATCACATATTGGTTCTTTCAAGTTTTTGGAAATCCCCTTGATCGAAAATATAACATAGGATCTTATAATTGAAAAACACATGAAATCATATTTTCAATATTACGACCTATAGAGATAAAAATAAATAAAAATATGAGAGTTGTAGCAATATAAAGAGACATGAGAAATTGTTAACTTGATATGATATAATTGTCACCTACGTCTTGACGGTAGTCAAGTGAAAAGAAAATTTACTAATGATAAGTAATCAATAGTACACGACGATCTTATCTAAACTATTCTCTTTTTAGACTTATTTTCCTAATACTATTTGTGAAATTCAAATAAGATTCCATTGAATTTGAGATTCTCTCACTTTCACTCAAATACTCTTCAGTGTTTGTAAGTCTTCAACAATAAAAAGATAATAAATTTCACGAAAGAAAACTACAACTCTATCTCTTAAAGAATGGTAGAAACTCTGTAGTTAAACTCAGAAAATGATGCGACGCGACCATTCAAAAATTGGAACGAAACGCGAACGCGAAACAGAATGAAAGTTATTTCAATGACGTGGATACTAATATATTTAATATTAATAAACACATAACATTTAAAAACTAAAATAAATTACTCAAAATTCATGAAACATTCATAAGTAAAAATAAAAATCATGTCTTAAACAAAACAATACTTTCAAATGTCAATAAAAAATTAAAACCCTAGTTAAAATTAAATAAGGTAGAGGAGGGGGTGCCTAACACCTTCCCCTAGTTAAAATAATTTAAACAATACTTCCCCCTAGTTAAAATTAAAACCCTATTCCTAAACCGTAAATCTAAACCCTAGTATCCTTATGAACAAGGTAGAGGAGGGGTGTCTAACACCTTTCATTCGTTCAAAACGAGTCAACATCTTAGAATATCTGATCAAATTAGGGTTAAACGTTATATTTTCTTCCCTAGGATAAAAATTAATGGTGGTGACTATATATTTTAAACCGGTTATTACAATTGGCGACTCTACTGGGGACTCAATCCTAGGGTTATAAGTCTTTCTTTGGATTTAGGATTTTTATTTTTGTTATTTATTTATATTTATTTATTATTTTGGTTTATTTATTCTTATTTACATTTTCTTTGTCATATTTTATTTATTCGTGGTGGTATTTTATTATTTCAAAAATATATTTTCAAAAATCTTAGAAAGAAGGTTCGTCTATTGGTCAAAGGGATATATCATTCCTATGAGTTTTTCTGACGACTTCGCTTAGTGTCGGTGGAATACCAAAAAAAGAAATATGTCTCAAGAGGTATCTTCTTGGTGGATAGGAATTTGGAATGAAACCTATGACTTTTTGTATAAAACTTAAACCAAAAACTCATGGCGAGACCTTTCACAATCTCAGAGATGAAAGTTTCGGTCTATAAAGAGGCTCTACTTAAGGGAGACCCTTGTGCCTTTCTCTCTAGTTTTATCCATGATATCCTTAAGGAAACCACCTTATGGGGGAGGGGGTAGAATATCCATAGGCCAAAGCTAAGAACCTACCAACTAAGCATACCTTTCCTAAAATCCTGTTACTATGCCATGCAATCATGCATTCATACATCTTACATTTCACATATTCATATTCTCCATTCTTTTTGTCTGTCTTATTCACAGGATCAAAAAAAATAATCAAAGGTTTTTGGTGAAGTGTCTTAAAAATGAATGTCATAGGGAAACAACTTGTCCGTGTTAGTGTCGTTAAGCCAAATATGACAAAGATCAAGACCATCAAAGGGAAACTGTCTGAAAAAGATTTGAAGATGTTTACTCGTTGCTATGGGGATACCCTTGAGTTGACAAAAGTGGATGTACAGTTAGATTCCATCTCTGACTTGGTTCAGTTCTACGATCCTCCTTTGAGGTGTTTTACCTTTCAAGACTTTCAGCTAGCGCCAACTTTGGAAGAATTTGATAGACTTTGAATTTTTCTAAGGAAAAAGCATATGTGGGAATTGGACAGACTATTGACATTAAGGACTTAGCAAGTGGTTTAGGGATCCCTTATCCTAAATTTTCACTTAATTACAAAAAAGAAGGTGATGTACAAGGGATTAAAGACAATATTTGGAAGCTAAAGCCCTTTCTTTTGGCAATAACAAAGAATGGGAGTCTTGTGTTGATTGTTTAGGGCTACTTGTATTTGGTGTAATTATGTTTCTGCGGACTTTGGACTATATTGACCCTACTGCTATTAGTGTATTTTGGGGCGCAAAATTTTTGAATGAGAACCTAACTCCTGCTTTGCTTGTTGATATTTACTATGCTCTTCATACTAGTTATGAAAAGGGGAGGGGTACGCTGAACTGTTGTATCCCGCTTCTATATTCTTGGTTTATGTCTCATCTCTATAAGGAGGACTACATGATTAAAACTCTGACACGATTTGAGTGGCCTAAAAAATTAAGGTCTCTTACTGTTGATTATGTGTTGTGGTATGCAAGGAAGCTAAACATTGGAGATATCATTTATAGTTGCGGAGATTTTCCGAATGTTCTGTTGATTGGATCATGTGGTTGCATCAACTAAAACCGTACATTGGTTTTGCAAAAACTTGGGTACCCATTGGAGGATAAACCCTTTGATGACCAACTTCAACAATTAATTATTCACGACATGGGAAAAAATGACCAAGAGTTTCTCAACAAGATCATCCGAGCTTGGAATAGGGTTGATAAAAGAAAGGCCAAAAAGAAGAATGTTGTGGCAAAAGAGATAGAAGTTTGAAAATTTACCTCTTGCATTTGGAGTCGTGTATGGAGTTTGAGCAACCTTTGAGATGGCCTGATGATTTCTGTAGCTTGCCTGGATCTCCTTGAATGTGTTCCAACTCCTACTTTGCTTTGAGGATGGCTGAAACTCTCAACTCAAGTCAAGTTGCAAGCTTCAGTTTTGGAAATGGTGGATAGTGATGGAGGAGTTACAGTATTTAAACAGTGGCTTGGATCACTTGTGTATGATGTATGTAAGGTGTCTGGATGATTAAGAATCAAAACGCACGAGTGGAAATGGAGATAGAGAGTTTTAGCTCAAAACTGTCAAGTTGAGCAGTTCTGTGCAGCAAGGGTGTTTGGGAGAGTTTTAGGAGGCTTGAAATCATGTGTTAGCTTGCAATAAACTTGTATAGTTATATGAAAAAGATCCTAACACTTGAGGTGGTCAGAAGTGTGAGATATAGAGTTATGGCTATGTTACTTGATTTTGAAGAAAAATGAAAAACATAGTTTCAAGGCATAATACAAGTATGGTCTGAGTTGTTAGAGGCTTTAGACAAGTTTCTTATGGATTTTAGATTGTGTGTGATCAGAAGAAAACAAGTGAAAAGCTCAAGAATTGACTTTGTGCATAAAAGCCATTTTTCCAAAATGGCAATGTTGCCTTTCTTCCTAAAATGCTATTAAGCATGAGCAATGCATTGAATGCTTGGATTAAAGTTTCTAACAGATGTGTAAACATTTAATTATGGAGTGCCAAACAATTTTGAGGCCTGAAAAGCAAAGATTATGCAGCCTAGGCTTGGATTTGAATTCTTGTTCATCATGGAAATGACCTATAATTCAAGAATGAATGTCTAACTTCTTGTCTTCGATTCTCTTTGCTCAAGCATGATCTCAATGATTTCTTAGACATTTTCGAAATCTTGTAACATCCTCTACAAACTCTATGTTAATCACTTTTGAAAATTCCCCTTGGAACTATGTGAAAAATTTCCATGAAGTTAGGTCAAAATCCTGCCTAAACTAGGGCAAAATTTCACAAAGTTTCCAAGTTTCATGAACATGTATTTACAAAATCATAACTTGAAATCCATTAATTTATATGAGAAGTTGTGTTCTATAATGTTTTAGATCTCATTGAGATATACAACTTTCATGTTGAAAGTTTCCTTTGAATCATCTTGCATCATGGTGAAAAATTTACTCAAAGTTGTGAAAAAATATGAAATTTCCAACACTTAGAAAAATTTCTAAGTTTAGAAATTTTTACTTTTCAAAATGAAATCTTGACTTTTTGATTTCTTGATAAATAAGTTTCGTGTTTTGATGAATTGTGATCTTTGACACTTGATTTTGACCAAAAAGTCAAAGTTTGACTTTTTAGTGTGCAACTGACTTTTGATCAGTTGACTGAAAATCAACTATCAATCAATTGACCTTCAACAATGTTTTGAGTCATGACATTAGGTAAAAAATGATGCAATTTAATCCTTGAGATCACGTCTCCAACC